ATTGGTATCCTTCCAAGTAGAAAAGGAGGAAAATACTGTTGCCGTCTTTCTGCCTATCCTTCAGCTGTTACCTTTCCACCTAAATTGCGCCCACCATTGCTACTCTCACCATATCCTTGCAGTGGCTTCTTCTTCAGCAAAACTGGTAGACAGTTCTCCAAATGCCTGTTTAAATGAGAATGCTACTTTACCACATCTCCAGTTCTTTAGAAAGCCCCAAAGTCCTTCACGAGTCCATGCAAAAAATGCTGTTTTTCCTATAGTTCCTCATTGATTATTGGCAGAAGTTACTAACATAGTTTTCCATCTACTTGAGCATGAACATCGATCTACTACAGCTCTAAGGAATTAGAAAGATACAATCAACTTATTTTTATCAAGGACTAACTGCATGAAAAAAATTACTGTCAATCTCAAAACAACTCTCTGTGAAGAACAAAGCAATCAATCAAAACAACTCTAATCCCTCATCATCATCGTACCATCTATTAGCAACTATTTTCTCATGACAAATAGAAATCTTCCTTTGTCCTCCTTGTATTTTCCATGCATTTAGATAAACCTTTTCTGTGAAAATTCCCATGCTCATACAGCAAAGTGTGGAGAAGTGAAGGACACGATAGCCGAACACAGATAAGGAAGATTATGTCAGCTCTCCTAATTCACCATTTTAGGCTAAAACAAGTGTTTGTTACTGGGGGCTGTTGGCAGGGAAGTTGAAGAGAGAGTATGCTTCTCACAGTGAAGCCCTTCATGCTGGAAAATGGCTCCAGACAGCTTAGGAAAGACCAAAAATATGCTAAAAAGATTAATGGAAGAGATGGGAAGTAGGATCAATATTTATGCTCACTGTATAAAGAGGAGCAAAGACCAGATAAGGAACCTATTCACATTACCCCAGACCTCTCGTACACTCCGATATTAAATCAGGAAGCTGAGACTCCCCTTGTCTGCTGGCAGTGCTGACCTGTGGCAGCAAAGACATCAAAACACATGAGCAAAAACCGAGCTGAGCTTGGAGGAATGGTGAAAACAGAGGCAGGAAAGCAGCAGTTTGACCAGAGGATTCTTTCCTAAGACACACACAGCATCACTGGGTTTAATGTTAGAATCTTATGGTTTAACTTTAAATTAAAAAGAAAAAAAATCCCACCCCTAAACACCTTATCCTGCCCCCTCTCTCCACATAGTACCAGCATAAGATAGAACAGGGTGACTGCTGTGTTAGATTTTTAACACTATGGAAACAACGGAAAAGGATCTTAAATAACCTTGCAGTTAGAAGCACAGCTGCTGGCATCTCGCATTTTCCTCCCTGACCGGCAGAGATTTGACAGCAGCTTCTGTGTGCAGGTAAGCAAGATGGATAACCAGGCAGATAAAAATGTATTTACAGCCCCTTCCCATCAAATGCCCATTTCCAGAAAGATTTAAACCAAGCTTATCAACTTAATTGTATTTTGAAAGCATATTTTGTTAGACTGAATTTACTCTTTTCTACCTTGTAAGAATTTTAGAAGAAATAAATCTTTCAAGGAAGAACTGACAAATAGCTAAGTCATAACTGAATCATACAGAAATGTAAACAAGCTGACCAAAGGTGGTAAGTAGAATGTGGATGGTAAATGCTTCCTCCATTTGCATTTCTCTTCTGTATTTGTGTTACAATCACACATAAGTTTATTCAATTTCCTTGTGCTTGCTCTCAAAGACATCCTTCCTTCATCAGCCTGCAGGGTAAGAAACTGTCACATCTCAAACCCTCACCTCCAGACCCAAGTATTTTTGGTGGTAATTGCTGTGTGCCTTGATGTGCAAAAAGCAGCTCAGAGTCATTTTCTAATTTTCTACCAAATGCAGCCATAGAATACACAACCTGTGGAAAGAAAATGAACAGCTAAATGAGACAGTGTTAAAACTTACCCGTCAGTAGCAATTAGACACAAAGAGAGCTGGAAAATCCAGAGTTGTTCCACGTATTAACTCCAGAGCTAAAAATAAGTATCCTCCAAAGGGCCCACTTGTAGATACGTCAGAGAACGCTACTTTTGATTGATTACAAATACTAGAAGCAGATAAGACTGTTTGCCAGCAAAAAGTTTTACTAGCACTTTGAAAAGAAAGCATGAAGTATTTATTTTGTGAATGTTGATGGTCTGTGTGTATTGCTCCCTCTAGTGTAAAAATACAAAATCACAATCCGGAAACATTCAAAAATAATGAAGTTTGGTAACAAACTTCTGCAGGTTTTGCTTTTCATTCCCTACCAACTTTTTTTTCCTAAATATTTATAACATGATTCCTCACATTTTAACACAAGAGATGACAGATTTTAACTTAAGTTTCAGCTTCTGATCCATGTCTCTGACACTTCATTAGCAGGAAATGATTATACCAGAATGGAATAGTGCATATGCAAATCTACACCCTGTAGTTACTGCTGTAACACTCCCCAAGAAATCAGCGAGGTACGATGCGGTGTTGCCCTTTTTTTTCCTTTCATTAAAATAGTAATTTCCACTCCATGATTGTTTTACAGTTACTACTGGTGTCATAGAAGAGCTCGATCTAGAAATGCGGTGAAGCACATTCTGCTATACACGTCCTCTTTCTACTTGTACCTGGTTAGGACCTAGAATTTGGAAATAAAGCAGTTTTAGAGCTTGGATTTCCTTTCCCAAATAGGGAAGAAATCCCTTAAAAACACACAGGTCACACTGAAAACTGACAACTATTAGAAATCATTTCAGACTTTACCTAATCTGAAGAGATTCGGAATGCGACAGCATGACAACAGCCATAGCCACTGCTGCAAGCTCCTCTCAGCCAGCATTTGGGAGGACTTCCCAGGACAGTTAATATCACATACATAAAAGAAAAACAGCACAGCTTTTCATGCCAGTTTCATCAAAAGAACATGCAGTCTGGTTTGTCAGGATGCTTAACAGATTCTTTTAATCAGTGAAGTTTTCCAGCTCAGAATTCTCTGAAGTGCACCTGTAAGATCAAGGCAGCAAATTCACCTTCTCTAAGAATTGACAGAGCTATCTCTAAAGATAAAAGCCAGAAAATGAAACCTGCAAGTCAGAGCAAAATTCAAACGAAAGCTTATCCCGAGACTTGATTAAACAACCTGCTACAGAATAATATAATTAATGCTCTGCTCTTGTTTTCAAAAAAGGAGATAGTTTTTCCCTCTCCTGTTGCTACCATCAGAAGCAGCTGAGAACTTGGGAAGCCTTCTAAAGGATCATTTTGCAGCTGTGTATACACTCAACTGTGATTTTATACTTGAGAGGTATCAAAATTCTCATCATACAAGTACCAAATCTTCTTCCAACTCCTACTGTAATTGCAATCTTAGCTTTGCAAGGCCTGACAGATCCAAAAAAAAACCCCATTTTCTCTGCCTGCCAGGATGAGGCTGTGAATCATTATTCAGTTTCACACACACCAAATTTCAGTATATTTGATGGAATAAGTCTGAAATAAAATCTGATGCAGGCTGTTTTTTTTTGAAGACTGTTAACAGGCAGTCCTAACAGATGACAAATGGTTCTACTGTTTCAGTATCGCACAAATTAAGCTCCATCCCTTCAAAGATGAGCGTGGTTATCTGGCAGATACTTGAAGTCATTATATAGATATTCTACTTCAGACAAACCACAGAACTTGTTTTATTTTTCCACCTGAGGTGGCTGTTGCTTCCATCACAGAAGCGTGCCCCAGTCAGTCCTTACAGGATACCTGCCATCACCACTCCCCTAAAGCTGTGCTTACTGCCCAGACTGTGAAAACTATTTGATCATTTGTGAAATGTATCCAACTAATCTCTGACACAACATCCTCTAATTATAAGAGGAGTCCCTTATAGGGAACTGGTCTCAGGTTGTGCAGCTAGCTACAATACCAACCATGCATAGGGCTCATCGAGGATAATACTGCGTGTCACAGCAAGAAAACAATCAGGTTCTTGAACTAGTGCCTCTGTACCAGCGCAGTCATGGAGTAAGAAAATGGGCACTACAGCAAAATCTCAGGGGCTAAATTCAGGACAAAATTAATAGTTGAGAAAGAAATTTTATTTCAAGCTTCTAAGGGGGTATTACAAACAATAGAGAATAAAAACATTAAAAACTATTTAAAAAGTAATTGTCCCTTTAAAATAAAGATTCAAGCAGGTTTAACAATGAAGTATGCTATTCAATGAAGTTTAAAAAAAAAAGATTTAAAAAGTATTGGTTTTGCTGTATTTGCTAATCCTTTATAAAAAAGCTGGGCATAAATACTTCGTGCATTCATATGCATTATATTTGGTGTTTCATATTATATAACTTGGTACAGTATTTAAGTATCACTGCAAAAGAGTTCAAACACAGTGCATTTATAAATAATGGAGTCATTATAAATCACATTGCAAACATACCTTGCCATTTTCATTGTTACAAATTCTGTATCTCAGTGAAGGTAGGAATAAAGTAGCTACAACAATCAATATCTTGACTTTTTTTCTTTTTAATATAAAAATGTAGTTCTGGAAACCCACCCTCCTTCTTCCCCCTGCCCAAACATAATGCTTTACTTCTTAAAAATAAAAATAAAGTACTAATTCTATATACATCACATGTACCATACAAAAATGTATCCAAAGTTTCTATTGCTACCAAAGTGTTCTAAATTAAAAGTTACATAAATCCCCTCATTGGAAACAGAAGATTACAATTTACCAAGAAAACCGAATTACACACAAACCATCGAGTTTTTATACAATTTCCAATACATTTTTCTCCCAAACCAAGTTGTCTTCTCATGTGCCTGTATAAAAATGCGTATCAATATATTTGTCAATTTTATTTTTCATTATAAAGCAAATTAATACATTTTCTACAATAAATAAAACACAGGGAGGCACAAATATCAACAAAATTAAACCAATGGGAGATAAATGGGATATGGTTTTGAAAGAAATAATGTGCTTGCAGGCTTTAAGCCAGGTTTAAAACAAAAACAATCAAGTTATTTTGGGCAACAATGGAGTGTTTTTGGTGATTTGCAAGTGATGTACATAGTATATTTTTTGATGCCTTTCTCACAAAGTACCCTCCAAAATAATGCAACTTCCTTTCTTAAAATACATATTTGTAATTGTAAATTTACATCAATCTTAAATATGTGGTACTTTGTGCAAAGAGCAATGATTTACACAAACATTCAGAAGTCTTTTTCAGAAGCTACAGACCAAGGAAGAAATGATACAAAGCAGCACCATATTGTATATGATTTAGGCAAACATATATTTGATGCCATTTTGATATTAGGCTTGAAGACTCACTAAACACCTTCAGCTGGAAGATGGTGCTTAGGTAACTTAACCTCAGAAAGAAAGAAAGAAAAGTAAAAAGCACAGAAACAAAAACCAGCTCCCTCCCCAGTAAAATTAAAAAAGGAATTAAAGAGCTACTTCTAAAATCAGAATAAGTTAAGTGTTGAATATACATTTATGTACAATTATGAACACTATGAACAAGACATTTTAATAGGTTTAGTGGAAAATCCTCCAAACTACAACATGGTAAAATCATTAATCAATATGGCAATGGTGATTTAGGAGATTTATTCGACTACTTCAAGTTTGCAGAACTCAGCCACTGAACCAACAATTAAGGGGTTGTAACTTCAATACATTCTTTTAGACAAAGAGGTTCATTAGTAGAGTTCAAGTCTGTGTGGTATGTTTCACGCCTTGGTAGAATCTCTGTTAGTCAATATCACTGAAGTCACTGACTGGTTCTCCATGGACTCGACTCAGGTGATTCATAGCACGATCAAAAGCAATTCTTACTGCCTTTCGTATGCTTGAGTTACGTCCTTCCATCATTTTTAACTTGTCTATGGTCTCATCTATTCCAAGGGGAACCATTTTGGATTTGGGAAGCCACTGCCTGTAACAAAGTGTAAAATAATTATGTTAAATATGGAGTGAAAGAAAAAAGTTTGTTCAGAAATGTCAGGGCTGCTATATTGCTTTTTTCGTATAACAGATCGGCTTTCACCATCTTCAATAAAGTTATAAAATTCCTTTAAAGACAGTACTTACTTGCCTTAAGTATTTTAAGAACACGAGATATTAAGCCTCTTCCATAAAACAACTAATACACTGCAATTCAATGATAGTTAATGATTGCTGTTAAGTGTGAACTGAAAAAAAAAATACCATGAAATACTGATGCAGTGTAAGTACAGGCAGAAGGATGTAACAATGAACAAAGCACAAGACTAACCTGACACAGTATTATGTTCATTCTGTCACTTTCATTATTACCAGGAATTTGCAGATGATTAATTTTTGTCTTTTTGCCTTAAGACATCTCAATTTGGATTTATGATGAAAGCTAAACTGTTACGGAAGTTCTGCTTAGTATGCTTTTACCCTGCATCATGAAATCCTACTAACTTTTAATTTAATTCAGAGTACTTTCCTGTTTTAAGCTCTGTAAGTGCCACTAATTACTGGGCATAGAGAACTGATAATGAAAAAAAATCTCTGCACTCCATCCTTCTAGTTAAAGGAAAAGCTTTCTACATGTTTAATCAAGAAGTATGAAGTAAATTTACTTCCATTTCCATAAATGTTTATTTTAACCCTATTTTCTTAAGTTACAGGTAAGGTAACTTAAGAAAAACAAAAATTAGGTAAACTAGTGAGTATCTATTAGAAATATGTTATTGTAGCCTGCAATTGCAGCCTTGTAAATGGCATAAACCGTGTTTCTGTTCAAAAAACTTCAGTTTGGGAGCCCATTTGAAGCCAAACTAACCGCAAATGAGACAGTAAAGGCTGATATAAAACATTTTATTCAAAGAGGTTGCTTATATTTTACCCAATAAAACTGTCTCTTGAAATACTATTTTTTAGTAAAGCACTCTAAACTACAACCCTATTGTACTGAGCACACACACACTGAAACCAAAATAACGTAAAGAGTCAGTACAAGGACACAGACAGAACAGTACATAACAGTAACATCAGCACGGTAAGCAGCAGTCTAATTGTAAGTTTTGCTACAGATCAGAGGGAAGTTTCAAAGAAGGTATTTTTAACAGAAAGCTTGGCAAATCCTTCAGATGCATGTCTCAAAGAAACAAATATGACTATTTGAAAAGGTAATCCATAGGTGATAGAAGCTGGTATCATGGACTGAAGATGACCCTGTAAGTGAATGAAAATCATACATGTGGGTTCAGGAGTAGGAGAGACAAAACACGAGTTCAGAGTGATGAGTGCCAAAATGGTCAAAATAATGAGAATAAAAGAACCATTACCAAAAAAAGTAGTGGGAGGGGAGGAGGTGAAAGGGGCTGGAAGAGTATTTAGCCTTTCCTGTCCATCTATGCTGAGTATCCATTAGAGACAGCTCTGCATAGTATTTGCAAGATTTAGAACCACCTACATATGGCAATGAATCAGACAGGTTTAAGGTGCAGAGGACTCCCAAGATCAAGTAGCAAACACAGCAACCATTAAGAAAGTGGCTAAGGGAGAGCATGCATTACACTTGTGATACCAGGAAGAGAATAATGAGAAACAGAATACTAAATATGTTTAAATTTGGATGATCTCCATGAACAAAGGCAGAAGAATGAAGAATTTCGTAGAATCCTGCACAACTGAACAAGAAAGATCATTAAAAAGTACTAATTAATAAAAAAAAAAAAGAACAAGCCAAAGAATACTGATTATGCTAAAGGCCCTATGGGGACAGAAAAGCAAACCTCAGACAAGAAATTATTTAGGTGTTGGCGTACTGGGGACAGTCGGGGAAGCAGCAGCATTACTAGACATTTCATCAGCTAAAGAGAGGAAGATGGTATTTGAAGTTGTAAACAAATTCAAGAATAAAACAGATATAAAAAGATTTAAAGCTAGCTTGATCTGTGTGGAAACAAAGATTGAAGAGAGATTAAGAACACAGGAATGAAATATATAATTTGATGAAGGGAAGAGAGTTGATGAAAAGCTTCCGTATCTGGAGGGGGAAAAACCTAAATCAACAAACCCAAACAAACACACACTCAAAAACGGAAACAGCAGCAACAAAAAAAAGACAGCACATGTGAAACAGTGTTTTATTGTCTAAATTATCCCTTCAGGCTTCACACAGCATATTCCTGATACTGAAAGAAACTGAAGAAGGAAAGGTCTCAAGAAAAAGATTTAAAAGGGTCAAGAACTTCAAATGAGAGTGTTAATAAAGGACTTTACAAGGACTTTAGAGGTTAAGAATTTTGAGAAAATGCACTTGAGCAGACTGGGGGGGGGGAGAAGTGGTGTCATTTGGGAAGCAATGATGAAGGCTGATACAGATTTTTACCTTTAAAAAACCTGTTTAGCCAAAGAAGCAATTTTATTGGGTCGGTAAGTTAAAACAGCTTGTGTATCAAACCAAAAGAGTATTTAACTACTTATATTATTTTCTTCCAAACTGACCATAAAAAGGAATCTTTCATTAACAATATACCTTGGTCAAAGAACAGACTCAAATATGAAATTTTTACTTTACAGTTGATACTTCTGTAGGAAAGATATCCATGGAACAATAATGTCTCAATTCTTTAAGGATAAAGGTACACGCTTTTAAAATTTTAAGTCACTACATCAAACAATACATTTCAATAACATACCAACTTCTTTTATTGTCAAAAAATAGCACTAAAAACAGTTTCTCATCAGATTTGGTCTGCATTTGTTCTCCAATTTTCAGTACATCCAGAGGTGGCACTGGTATAGTAACACCGTTGTGATGGCCAGCAACACGAGGCATCTTAGGATCAATAATCTATGAAAGAGAATAAATGACAGTTCCTGATTTTTTAAACTACATCATTTAAGGACATATTACAAATAGTCAAGGGGAAAATAATCATAAACTGAGCAGCTACTGCATATAAATTGGCTTTGTTGTACACACGTAACTTTCTGACATACACTGAACAGGTATATTGGAGGCACAGCAGTAGATTTAACTGAAAAACCTGCCTCTACCACAAATTTGGGGATTTGAATTTCAGACACCTTAAAGAAACAAGCTTACAAGTTAAGAAACAAGCTTACAAGAAACAAGCTTACAAGTTAAAGAAACAAGCTTACAAGAAACAAGCTTACAAGTTAAAGAAACAAGTTAAGGTATAAATATTTGTTTCTGCAAAGTACAAACCCCATACTCAAAAATGGAGCAAAACACCCTTAAAAAGGGACCTGCACCCCCCCCCCCCAAAGATATCTGAAGTCATTTCCAAATATCTTGCATATCCAATTTAATGACTCAATTTTTAGCAAAACATGGAGTTACAGTTACAAATTCTTTTTAAAGAAAGGTTAGAGGAGGGTGGAAGATGCCGCTAACATTGAACTAATAATCACGCTAATGGAAAAACTCCTTTGTAGGCAGATCACAGCATAATCAAGTGCTCAGCTTCCACCAAAGAGGAGCCATGTTACTCCACATTTGTTCCACCCACCTCCTACTCTCCAAACTTCCTTTTTTTTTTTCTGTCATCCAAACTGGCACCCATCTTAAACCATGGTAAACTGATTATGGGAATTAAATCAACAGAAAGTAACACTGTGGAGAGTTTGTAGAGAACAGAACTTTCTTCTCTTGACTGAGGTTTAATTCCCTGATCAACTCATCACACACAAGAGAAACACCAGTGCTGACACAAAGGAGTACTCAGAAAAGGGGACCTTCAGTCATGATCAACTAAAATCTAATACTAAAGTGCTAACACCATTCAAAACACAGCCAAATCATTAAATTTTCAGCATGACCCAAGAGTGTTAGTCACAAACTGAGAGCACTGAAGTGCTCTAAATCTCACCCCACAGGTTTTAACCTGACTCTGTACAACTACATTTCCTGATGTTCCCAGCATTTCCTGATGTTCCCAGCACACACATATTAAAAGTCGTAACTGTCCAGTCTATTAGAGAAATCAAGCCAGTGTATGCACTATTTCTGTAACTCCAAACACCTGAAGCTAAACACTTTACCAACATTTCTCCGCAAGCTTTAATGTAAATAGAACTCTCTATTTCTCCTAAAATAACCCAGGCACAATAGCTTTCAGTTTCCAGCATGACATTCACAACTGGACACAATCGTTCAATTTATTCTGAAGATAGCAAGCTTTCTGTTTCTTTAATGAACTGCAGAATCAGAGTATTTCTATACTCATTTTGCAACAGAAAATATCTTATGGCTCCAATACCAACAAGATGTCTGTCAAATGATTATTCAGTAGATACTTTAAAACAGTAATATATACTGCAGAAACAAAGACTACCAAGACACATGTGCCGGTTTTGGCTGGAGTTAATTTTCTTCATAGTGGCTGGTATGGGTCTCTTGTTTTGGATCTGTGCTGTAAACAGTGTTGATAACACAGGGATGTTTTTGTTGCTGCTGAGCAGTGCCTACACAAAGCCAAGGCCTCTTCTGCTCCTCACACCAGCCCCCCCACGAGCAGGCTGGGGGTGCACAAGGAGCTGGGAAGGGACACAGCCAGGACAGATGACCCCAACTGACCAAAAGGATATCCCACGTCATATCATGTCATGCTCAGCATATAAAGCAGGGGGAACAATGAAGGACAGGACACTGGGAGTGATGGTGTCTGTCTTTCCAAGTAACCCTTATGTGTGATGGAGCCCTGCTGTCTTAGAGATGGCTGAACATCTGCCTGCCATGCGAACTGGTGAATGAACGCCTTGTTTTGCTTTGCTTGCACACATGGCTTTTGCTTCACCTGTTAAACTGTCTTTGTCTCAACACAGGAGTTTCCTCACTTCTACCCTTCCAGTTCTCTCCACCATCCCACTAAGGGGAGGGGTTAATAAGCACCTGTGTGGGCCTTAGCTGTTGACCGGGGTTAAACCACAACAAGCATTACACATCTCAGATGAAGGGTAGGGAAGTAATTATTGACTCAACATCTCATATTGCAGTAACTTTACAAATAATGCAGTTAAGACAGCAGAATAATCCACCTTTATTCAACCTGAATGGGAATTTATCAACTGGCTTAAGTTCACACATCAGTGTTTCCAGACCAGAAACAGTATCACTAGCATACTGATGAGAAGCAGCATACTTACCAGAGCTGGGTAAGAGGGATATCCACTGCATTTGGCCCATACTACTTTGAGAGGCTCAAGAACAGATGTTGCAGCATCACTTGAAATCCACATACTGCTATGCCCAACTTCTAAGAACAAATAATAATTAAATATAATATTAAAATGTTAAAGAATGAAATCTCTGACCAATCTTCTGCACTTGTCATCAATATCTCATGATCATTAGAATCCAAATATGAAAACCACTTTCCATGCACACATAAAATAGCGATAAAAAGTAGATACATTCAAAATAGCTCTTTAAATGATACTAATACTTTAATCTAAGCCTAAAGAACTGATTTTTCAGACACCTCTGGAAACAGCGTATCTTAAACCACCTTAATTTTCAAAAAGCCAGTGTTTGCCACCTTCTAATATTCCTTTCCCTTTGAAAAAAGCTCAAAAGAAAACAAAGTTGTGGTACTTCAAACAACCAGGGTCTTTTGAAACTACGACAATCCTGTCAAAGCCATGATGGTACCTGAAGATTCGAGTTGCGTGGTGTGTTTCCAAAGTGTTAGATACCATAATAGGACTAGCACCTGGTAACTTACAATGCCTGTCCGGTATACCTTTCTACTCTTACGCAGAAATTCCATTCTGCATTTTAATTTTTATTCATTTATTTATATTTAATTGGCCTGTCTCTTTGCCCAGCCCTTTCCTGCAGCAAAGTCAGAAAGACAAACAGGGTGGCAAGGAATCAGCTGCTGGTTTCTTCCTTCTCAGGAGGCAACAGAGAACTGAGTTTATATTACTTCTTGCTTCTACCAGAATCCGCCATTTTCTTCTCTGTTGTCACCACTGGACTGAAGCATGAGAGAGTTTTAAAGACTTTCAGTCAACCAGAACTGCAATTGGCCCCTACACACATAGTGATATGGTCAAGAGATTGGGTGGAAGACAGCAAGTTATCCCATCAAGATGTAATTGGAAAAAGTAGGAAGAAGACACTGGAAGTTCACAGGCTGTAAAGATGAGGTGGCACTTCTTGTACAGGGAAAAGTGGTACTGAGATACAGTTCAAAGGTGGCAGTCTCAGGTTTTTTTAGCAGTAAGGCAATACTTGATAGGAGTAACTCTCTACTTGCCAAAATATGATTTCTTCCTCAATTCTTCCGCACCTGCTCCCATTTAAAATGGGCAGTGCTTATTTACAATGAAACGGGCATGCAGATATTAAGTTCTGCCTCAACATCACAAAAAAAAAAAAAAGTACAGGAAAAAAAGTGGTTTCAGACCTTTTAAGAACAGAAATAGCAAGGAAAAGGTGCTTCAGGTGATTACAAAAAAACAGAAAGGTCATTCTCCACAATGTATTATAGGGCAATTCTCAGGCATAGGCTAAATCAATTCAATTTATTTTTGATCTATAATCATGTGTTGGTTTTGCCTGGGATAGAGTTAATTTTCTTCACAGTAGCTAGTATGGGCCTGTGCTGTTAAACATCATCTGCTCCTCCTTATAGGTGGCTACAGAATGTACCTGAGAACAGAATTAAGAGGGATCAAGAATTCTGAAAACAATAAGTATAGGAATTCTAAGTGGAAAGTGCTAAATGTAAGAATACCCAGAACAGAAAGTGGAAAAGGTAAAGCCCTATGTAAGAGATTACCATACAGATAATAAAGATCCTAAACGTGAGAGTAATGAAGCAGTAGCTGAAAACAATTAGCTGCAAGAAAAACAAAACTGATCATTTGGGGTCGAAAGAACAAAGGCAAATAAACAGTCAGACAAAACCACCAGAAACACACAGAAGAGTCCCTGAACAAGGAACACCCAGCATGAGGGGTGAAGAGCTGTAAGGTCAGAAACTAAAGACAGGCCTGCTACATGCTACACGCTTACAAGGCTGACGCCTAACTTCAGTGTGGGAGCATTGCATTACAGGAAGACAGCTCTACTTACGGAAGAGATGACCTACTTAAATCCTATCATGCAATTAAAATACTGAAACAGGTGGAAAACTTATCAACAGAATGTAGTTATTTCCTACAATGTGGCAACTTACTATCCTCTACATTGCTAGAAATTTACACTTCTTTCCAATTTCAAATTTTTCCTTAATCAAAGCAGACTATGTCTTACCTGTCTGCCAACATGTTTATGCAGAACAGTATCTGAAGACTAAATTCTACACCAAACATTCCAATGAAGAAAATTATTGAGAGAACCACAAACAGTACTTTAAGTAAAATTTTGCTTGTATTACTAAAGGAGCTTGATCACTTTAAATGCCACTTATTAATAATAATAAAAATAATAAAGGATCAGGTACTATTTTCTCTTCAAAATCTTTGAGTCAAAAGCAGAAACCAGTAATTTCTGCAATGCTATCAACACCACTTTCAGAATGCTCGATGTTATTTCACCAGCAAAAATCAGAATGTTAGAATCTGTCAAATAAATGGACAGATTTATTATTATACAATATCACAAAGAATACAGTTACTTATAGTTACCAGCTGCAATTCTTGCTGCTTTGGCATAGTTTCCATTTTCAATGCATGATATTAATTCACTTCGGTCTTCCAGTGTATGCCTTCGTGTAAGTGCAGGTTTACCTTTACCACACTTCGGTAGGCTGAAACTACAAAAGTATAAATATTAAAACCATTACTTTGTAATTAACATGGTTCACTATAACTCAAGACTTCAAAGGAGCATTTAAAATTCATCAGTACACAGTAAAATCAGAGCAGCAAGCTCTAACAAATTTTATGTAAAAAAAACAACATAAAACTACAATCCCAGATATATTCATGAACAGAATTGCCTGGTTAACAGCAAAAGACAGTATGAAACTGCACCTCAGCTGCTGTACAGATTATATATGCACAAGTAAGATAAGCTGTTTTGTCTCCAGTGTTAAGAGTAGATACTGGCCAATTGAGAACATACTCCCTTTGCTCAGAGGAAACAGTTCTACTATATAGGAAACATGACTATTTTCTATTTAATTTTTCACTACAAATTCATGTCTTTCAATTGCAGAGTATCTATACATAAAACAGGAAATGTTACCTGCGCACTTGAGTTTTCTCTAAGACAGCACAGAGTCTGAACAGAAATCAAATCTACGAGATCAAATCCTCAATATACCACGTTTATAAGAGATACAATATTAAATTGTCTTTGTTTCTGAAAGCCTGTTTAACATGAGTGAGCTAACACCCTTAAACAGTTCAATACCAATCTTCAACACATGAATAAAATCTTCCTTTTCCCCCCTGCCTAACAGATTGACCCTGTATTCCTGTTATATCTCATCCTCACAGCCTAGGACTAGAGATCATTGCTACCTTTCATGCACAGATAAGCATGCTTTTGGAAGATATGGATATCATAATTTCATCAAATTTCATCAATGGTGGCAGAGATGACCATTTTGACAGTTCTGTCTTTAGCAACAGACTTCACAGAGAGGGTCAATAGTTGGTATACAGCTACTATCATTACTGCAGTAAACAGCCAGTATTCCAAACCAGAGACTGATAAACTGCAGTTCCACAGCTACTGAATTTACATTCCCTGTGTACAAGGCTCTGCTCTGCAAACTGCTTCTCCCCTCCCCTCATTGAAATAAACACATCTATTTTCAGTGATTGGGATTAGGAAAGTAAAACAAGACACTATATGCACAAATGTGTATGCATCTATACAGAGCAAGAGAAGCAAAGTCAAGTATAAAACTTAACTGCCTAAATCTGCAATAAGGGGAGTTCAACAGAAGAGTCCCAGCAAACCTGAAAGGTGTCTCTGATTTGACACACAACTGAGAAAATCGACATGTACTCCTTTTTTCTAAAATTTCTGCCATCCTCCAATGTGGGTCACAAGCAATACAGAAAACTGGCATTTTCAGTCTCAAACTGTATTTCAGATTTGCAGTTTTACCTTGTGTTACACAAAAGACTGTTACTAGATGAAATACTAGATTCTGATGCACAGCGACGACGAGGTTCAACTTTTCTTCCAGGAGTATCATCTAATGCTCTCTCTTTACTTCCATCTCCAAAACCATTTGACAGACCTACAGTGTAACACAAAAATAAACTGCATCAAACTTGAAACCACACCATTTTCATTAAAACTTTTTTGTATTCACACATTGCATCATTATTGTTCTGTACTTCAAGAATTTCAATGTGAAGAAGTAACACAAGCATTCACCAAACATTTCATTTCAGAACACAGTATCATAAATAGGAGGTTCCTGTAATCCAGATTTTAAAGCCAGGATGAAAATAGGTAACATTAAAAAAGTGAAGATCATAATATGTGAAATGCCAAATTGAATCAGTGTCTGTATGTCATGTTTCCAACTACTGAGACAGGCTGCAGAAGCTGAGTAGAAAAAAAAAACTCAAAACCCAAGGGAGAAAAAAAAAAAGTTATAAACCAGTCAGATTTACCAAGTTAAGACAAGACTCCTTTGAATACAATGCTACAACCATACGTCAAGTAATACTGAAAATCCATTTCAAACACTGGAAGTAAAGAGTGGTAGCATTCCCTCCTGATGCTATCTACTTCTTCCTGTAAATCCTTCCAGTTTTGCAAATTCAAACTGACATTATGTCTTTTTTCTGTGATTAACAGCCAATAATATGTACATTACTATTTTTTACTATCCTTCCTCTGGCACAAGCTTAAGTACATCCAAGGCTACTGTATTTTAGTTTCATAGTTGTAATGAAAACGCAAAAATAAGGCTTTTATAATTACAAGATTTCATTGGGCTGCCACCAATCCTGCTCTGAGTTTGCTAATTCACAAACAGTACAGTTCTTAAGCCATTTGCGTATCTGGTTAAAGAGACATATTAAGAGGTTTAAGATCACATTCTGAAGACTGTCCTAAGGAGGAGGGGAGGAGGGGAAGAGATGTGGACATCAGAACTGAAAAAAAAAAAAAGAAAGAATCCAACACAGACTTGAGAGTATTAACGGAAATTAGCTGAGATAAAGGCAACGGCAGTAGCCTGCAATCAGCTACTGCAAGCTGTAGATTGCAAAGAGAACAAAATTTTAAGATGAATTCTCAGCACATTTGTTTCCTTACAACATATAAAAGTTTTTACTTAAGGCTATGACCAGCAGCACGCTTCTAATACTGGAAGAAAGAGCAATCCATCCCATATATCCTATTATCAGAGTCTTAAAGGTCATCATGATTATTGTTCATTCAGACACAGTCAAGTAAGCATATGTAACTTCATGTGTCTTTCTGTAGGGCATTATACTATATGGCAGAACTCCCTTTATTAAGTTCTAATTCTTCCAGTCTGTTTGCTAGGAAGACCTCTGCAAAGAACATTAACAACTAAGGAACTTGAGCTTAGCAAGTTCCTTTGTATGACCTAGTCATATCTCAGGGCATTTCCATACAGTGATTCAAGGGATTTCCCACTAACGCCTAGGAGATCTTCCATTTGGATTATGAACACAGTATTAGATTTTTAAGAGAAAAGGGAGAACCTATACAACAGTCTGAAAGATTTACAGAGAAGCATTCTCTTTTACTGTCATTTAGCTGACACTGAAAATATATATTTACGTGTCTATTTTCTAACTCCTGCATTTGCTTTTAATTTCCTATTCAAGAAAGAAAATGATAAAGCTAGCGTTGTCTTGAGCGTTCAAACCTCAAACTACATGGTATTGATTAATCTTGTTCTCATTCTCAGCAAGTCAGTACAAATAGCTGTAGATTGAGGAGTTCAGTCCTAGACTATGCTGAAGGACCTGTCAGAAGAGATTTTGCTTTATGAGAAAGCTTAAATTTGCCTACAAACTATCACAGTACACCTCGTAACGCATCTGAAATGAAAAGCTGAAAAAACATTCTGCTAATACAAAAAGAAATCTGGGTCTCTGCAAAAAAGTATTTCTTACTCTCAGATATCCTGTCAGACATATTTTTCAAGTGAGGTGTAGAAACTGCTCTGTTTTCAGCCTGCCAGAAGCCAGAGATACGTTACTCAAGTTTCCATTCAGGCCCTTAGATAATATAAATCAGCTATCAGCAGAAACAACTTAGATCAGAGATTAAGTTTTAAAGACAGATCAAACAGTTACTGATACCAGAACAAGAACACAGTGCACATTCCCAAAGGACTGCGGAAGCAGAAAGAAATACCTGTTCATTCTTGTAAGATGATGTATAAAAAGCCATAGGTATGCCAAATATGACATAGCTACGTCTCTATGTACACTGTTCTGTATGTATATCCAGAGGAAAATAAATAAATAAAAAAAATTAAGGACTAGCTTCACATTTTCATTGCTTCCATCAGTTTGACTGTGCTGCTGCTGAAATGGACATTCTGGCAATCTCAAACCCCTGCAATGGTTGCTTCTTGTCCTCACCATGTCAGTACCAAGAAATATGTATTCATGGTAATGGACCAGTTTTCAGCAATGCACTGGGAAAAGCAACCATGTGGTGCTTTGACTGCTGATGTTGAGGAACAAGTTATGCAACAGAAACATGCAACTATAGCAATGGAGACACTACTCTCCAGTGGTAGTCCAGTCTTATATTAAACATAACTTATGAGTGTAATTATTTCACTAATGTAGGATTTTAACATTACAGTAAGCAGTTTTTTCAGTCTGTAGAATGGTTACTAACAGTGGTGTCCTGGTTTTGGCTGGGATAGTTAATTTTCCTTCCAGTAGCTACTGCAGTGCCATGTTTTGGATTTAGTATAGGAATAATGTTGATTTCACACCAATGTTTTAGTTGTTACTAAGTAGTGCTTACCCTAAATTAAGACTTTTGAACCTCTCATGCTCTGCCAGTAAGGAGGAGCACAAGAAGCAGGAGGGAAAGGAGACAGGACATCTGACTCAAAGTAGTTAAAGGGGCATCCCATACCACAGCACATCATGCCCAGTGTATAAACTGCTGAGAGTTAGCTGGGAGCCACGGATAGCTGCTTGGAGACAGGCTGGGCATCAGTCAATGGGTGGTAGACAATTGTACTGTGCATCACTTGTCTTTCTTGGGTTTTATTCCTCTCTCCTTTCACACAGTTATTGTTATATTTTACCTAATTTCAACTATTAAAACTGTTCTTACCTCAACCCACAGGTTTTACCTTTTTCTGATTCTCCTCCATATCCCACAGGGGGAGAAAAGGGAGCCAGTGGCTGCATGGCACTTAAGTTGTCAGCTGGAGTTAAACCATGATAAATGGGGCTAAAAATTCCCAACTTTTTTGACAAATAAGGATTATTAAAACGAAAAAGTATTTAGAGCTGATCAGACACATTTCTCTCTTGCTTGTGGAAGCATGAAAAACAAAAAACATGCAGTCTTATCAGCAGGAGTAATTTTTGTCAACAGCAAACCCTGAACATGAGCTTATGCAATCCACGTGACTCAAGTTTATACAGTTCACTTTTCAGAAATTATAAGCAACAGGCACTATTTTAAGGAAGAAGGATCTCAATGCTTATTTTAAGCAAAACACACTCATATCTACTCACAGATGCAGCAGCTCCCAAGCAAACACACAATGAAATATAAATGCTTTATGTTATCACCAGTGTGCAAAAGAAGAAAACCCCCAATATACTACATTTATATGCTAGAACTGGAAATTTGTTTTTTGTTTTTTTTTTTTTAGATCATTAAAAACCTCTTCCCATGAATCATGGAACACCAAATCTCCTGTAGCTAATAGAATAAATGAGATCAAAGAAGATCCACATTTGCTTTACAGAATTTGCATTTTATTGTCTCAACAGTTATTAAGGTCAAACAAAGAAAATCTGTACTAGAACCAACTCATCCTGGTTTTGCACACTAGTAGCCTGGGTAAGCTTGCAACAAACCTCTACGAGCCATATCCATTTTCCAAAAGCTCATGATTTTTAGATCTAATGAGCTTTCATTGCAATTGTGAGAGAAACTTTATTAGGCCAAGTACTGAATTTCTTACACATACCCAACACCCTTAATTGAGAACAACTTCCCTCAAAAAACAACCGCAAACATCAAACTTTTTCATTATTTCAAACTGCAAGGTCTGCTATCAATCTTCAATGCAGGGTTACTGCCATTTCCGATCTTCGGCTCTAGAATGCAATTTACATAGGAAGTTTCCTGCCATATTAATCATGGAACATAACACACATATCCATTTTAAAAATAAAGAAACACTAACAAATCACTGTAAACTTAGGAAAAAAAGTACACCAAAGATGATCAGCTTGATGCCTTTTCACAGGTTTCTCACTGCCCTGAAAATGGTATTTATTGGGGAAAGTTGCAACTTTTTCTCAACAGAAACAGTTTGTTCTTAAACTGCAGTTAGAACTTCCACTGACTACCTACCAAGCCAGTTAGAATCTTGTTGCCTACAACAAATTAAAGGAAACAGGAAAAGAAAGAAAGACAGCAGAAGTTTGGGAGAAAAACAACAAAACTGAGGAACAAAACTCAGGACACTCCAAGGAGCAGTGTGCCCCATGAAAACATAAAATGCTGCCCCAGAACACAGAATTGTGTGCTGCAGACTGTAACTGCATCTTGCAGTTCTACTGAAACAAAAATAAAGCAGAACTGTGTAAAATTATTCTAAAGCAATTAAAACTATTATGTGTAGCTTGATGTAAAACTAAGTATATCCAGATGTCAAATGAAGTGCTATATTAAAACCACAGCTGAAGAGCTGAGAAGTAATGAAAACCCCTAAATAATTTCAACTACTAGGAAAGTGGGAGCATTCAAATACGACTGTACACAGTGCACCAGCACTCATATAACACTGTTTAGGTTCATTTTCCCAAGCAACGACTAATCAAGTCTGACTTTTGCACTTACCCAGCACCAGTGACATTAATCTTCATTAATATATATATATGTATATATAAAAAATAAAATTTATTAAACTACATAAATGCATAAAAATAGGTGAAACATTTTTTGTACGCTTTACTTCTCCAAGGAAGATTAAACTGCTTTTTGGGGAAGGGAAGAGGATGTATATCTAACGTTCTTGACTAATTTGCTCTCACAGAG